GGCTTTCACTCACTCCTAAATTTGGGTCATTGGAAGCCATCTGGTAAGTGCCCTGAAACCCAGCCCACAACATGCTCGGCTCCAGTACAGTGCTCGCTGCCGAAAGGCTCCCATCTCTCTTTAGCTTGGTGGCTTGGACATTCTAATCCACAAAGGCTTTCAGTGTTGAGCCTTTCGCCTTCTCTTTCAGAACCATTCGATGCTACTCATGTTTCTGAAACCAAGAACTTCGGAAGAATTTCTGCCCTCGGGCACTCCCATTTTTGTGCCCAGATTGGCCTCCTTCCCAACTCACCAGAAACATCAGAGAATGAAGCTGTCTGTGGAAGGCTGTGGACAAACTAGACACAAATTCACTGGACATCTGATAGATAGAAAGAAAGGTCAAGATGGCCCAAGATTGGTCAGTCTCTCAAGCTCGACAGCAAAAGAAAAAACTGGAATTTCTTCTTGTATACTGTAGGCTTGAGTTCAAGGCATTTTTTGGTCTGGTGGCCTTTGACCTTTACTCTGAATGGAACAGTCATTGGGTAGGGCCAGGCTCTCATAGGGAGGACATACTGGTCTTGTGCCCTGCTCCTTCTCCAACATAAGATGCCAGAAACATTGTGTGGACTGAGATGAACCACTCTGTTAGGCTTTAGGATGCTCTAAGTAGCACTAACTGGCCCTGTCCTTGTTAGGAAGGGTGGCTACGGGGTGATGTATGCTTATAAGGAGAAATTATACAGGAGGAAAATGAGAATTAAAAGAATGAACCTAACTGGTAGTCACTGTGTGTGTCTGGTAGAGAATGGGCCCTAATTCTGGCAAGGAATTTTCCTTCTGATGCCTTGCCAGGAGAATAGAAACCAAATCACAAATCTAAAGATGAAGACACGTTCACCTGGGGAGACATGGGACTAAATGAGCTGTTCTAGTTTAAACAAAACGCAAGACATGAGTTCCTATAACACACACACCACACACACACCATGTACCACACACACACCACACACACCACACACACCACACACACACCACACACCACACACATACCACACACATATACACACACACACCACACACATATACACATACACACCACACATACCACACACACACACCAAACATACACACATACCCCACACACACACCACACACACCACACACACAAAACACACACACAACACACACAACACACACACACACATACACACAGCATATACACATGTACACACACACACACACACACCACACACACACACACCACACACATCACACACACAACACACACACACCACCACACACGCACACCAAACACACATACACACACACACAAATGGTACAAGCTAAGATACATTCGATAAAGAGGAAATGGGTTATGTAGAATGAACTGGATTTTTAGCACTAAAAGCTCTCCAAGACAAAGCAAAAAGTTAATCACCAGTTACGGAAACCACAGGCTAATAAGGCCATCCCTAAGCTAAAGCAAACAGAATCACCAGTGTACACTGTGGGAGATGTTCAAAGAGGATAAGCCCCTGAGTCACACCCCAGAGAACCTCAAGAGTCTCCATGAGCCCCCAAGGCAGGTCTGTGGACCAGAGTACAGGCCTAGACACCTGCTAGTACCTACAGCAACTTAGACTCACATTATTCACTGATAGCCCCAAGGGAGTGGAGTTGTGTGCCAGCTAGAGATCTCCAAGGGAAGAGGTCTGTAGCTGTTGGGTGCAAGCCAACCAAACCAAATAAAGACTTGAACTGGGGCCAGAGAGGCAGGGTGTGGCTCACCTGAGAAAGCTGGGTGGGGGTCATTAGCTCCGCACTCAAGGAAGAGGCATCTATACGAGTAGGTGTGAGCATTCCACAGCCTAGATGTCTGTGGAAGAAGCTTCAATAAATATGGAATGCCCTTCGTTCTTGCTATCCTAAAACCTTTTTACCAGCTGAGGATTTCTTTTGTTGTTCTTCTTCTTTTAAAGCCACAATATAAAAAAAGTTTTCAATAGCATTGTAGCTTAAGAGTGAAGCTCGAAATTTGATGCTATGGCCAAGGTTACAGGACATACTTAAGAGACAGGTCATCTGGATGCCACTTTGGACCCACAGACTTTCCTGTGTCCTTAAGGTCGCCACTAACATCAACTTGATTCTAGGAAGGCTGTAAGTCAGTCAGCAGCATCCTTCTAGACGTCTTTTTCATTTTTGTCCTTCTCCCCTCACTTATCCCCAGTGGTGTGCTGGAGCCAGATGGTACCAACTTCCAATTCCGTGTTCAATAACTGTAGGTTGGGGCCACCAGATGTCTCAGTGGGTAAAGTCACTAGCCTGACATCTGAACTACATGGTGGAAGAAGAAAACTGATTTCTACAAGTTAGCCTGTGTGTGTGTGTGTGTGTGTGTGTAATAAAAAATAAAAACCCTCAGGCTGGAAGCTTCAATCATCCATGGTAGGAGGACTCACACAATGGAAATTCTCGAACACTGCAAACAAAGGCTTTTTTTTTTTTCCTTTCTGGATAGCCTGTTATTAAACATCTGCCAGTACACCATGTCTTAGAGAGAGGTTTTTGTCTGACAGAGGGGACGTTGAGCTGAGGAGGAGGATTAGAGAGTGGAACGGAGAGTTCACAGAGAGAAGTGGGTGGTCAGGAATGGGCTTGCCTTCTTCATATAAGTTCTCCTCCGCAACTCAAGCTTCCAATCCAATATTTAAGCGTGGTTGTCTGAGTGCTTGCTCCATGTTTCTGTGATGTGGATGTAATTAGCTTTCTGCTGCTTTGTGAGGCTATCATCCTATTTGGTGTGTTTGAGGTTTATGGTACAGAGCATAACAGCTCAAACACACCCTTTGCATACTCTGCATCCTGGATTACTATACCCTGTACCCAATGTGTCTCTTACAGATGTGAAGTATTTTCTCTTCAATCTCACCATATGACAGTGTGTCTCTTTCATCTGAAATGTGTTCCCTCTTGACATTTTGGTTTATTAGCTTGTCTCTTTTGAAAATGTTCCTGGGGCAGATCTATTATTCCCTCTGGACAAGAGTTGTTTAGCTTCAATGTTTGTTCTCAATTTTGCATCCCACAAGCATCTCTCCCTTCTATCATCTTTCAGAGTTCCAGTCCCACCTACATCTCCAGAAGAAGCTGTCTCTTAACAGGAGAGTGGGCCAGGAGAAGAACCTGAACCAAACAACCAAATCCATATGTAAGGTAGGCTTTTATGGTCTTTTCAAAAATCAGAAGACAAAGGCTGTCCTCACCTGAGTGAAAGCCAAGCCTGAGATAGAGGTTTGCATACAGCCAGGTATTTGAAGATCCCAGAAACTAGGTACATAATATTTTAGGAGAGGAAGAAGAAGAAAACAGGAAACAGGAAACAGTACCAGACTCTGTTTTGAATTAGGCAAGGCTCTATGGCCGCCTAACCTATCTGAATCACTGAGTTCTGGGTTTAATGAGAAATACTATATGGAGGAGGTTAATTGAGAGAGGCATTGGACATCAACTCCTAGCCTCCACGAGGCACATGTGCACACATATTCATATAAGTACATGTACATGCCACACACATACATATATATATATATATAATTAAAAAAAAAAATATATATTTATTTATTTATATAATGTATTTCAACCCATTTTAGTTGTTGTCCTAATTAGTTCTTAAATAATTTGATCTTTGTCCAATGGAATAATATTCATGTTGGTCCTGAAGCTTTCGGTGCAGCCTCAGTAGTGTTTAGTTTCATCTCTCCTTTCTGGTATGATAAACTATTCTACAGGTTTCTGTGGTGATGGGAGTGCTCCCTATCTGTGCCCTATAACACTGTAACTACTAATTGCATGTGACCATTCAATTCTGGACGTGAAGCTAATGCAGCTGGGAAGCTGAATTTCAACTAATTAAATTTGGATTCATTTTACTTTAAATGGACTCTTGAAGCTGGTTCCTATCCATGTAGGAGAGGCTCGTTCTTCTTACACAACAAATGGATATTTTTGATACAGAGAAACCAGAGTTTTTCTACTGTGGAATCCAGGCTTTATTAGACTACTGCAAGGATTGACTTTCTCTAATCCCAGAGACTTTTGTAAAATACTGATTTCCTGTAGCAGGAACGATGGGGCCATGTCTGTGTAAACGCCGGTGGGGAGGGGACCACACTCCCACAAAAACATCTCCTGCAGGAAGACCTAATTGAGGACTGCCTGAGAGACCGAGGATTGCTGTGCAGATAATACCAGCCAATCAGGAACTGCTACTTAGAAGAGATGCTTTCTTGGGACCAATGGCGCATGGGTGGAGGGTATAAAAGGAGCTTGCAGCCGTGCCCAGTTGAGCTTGCTGCAGCGTTTCTCACCTGCTACTGGAGTCTGTGTCTTTGACTCTGTGCCATCTCACCTCCAACCCCCAAGGGAGTAGTCCAGGAAATAGGCAACAATTTCCAAGCCTCTCCCCCAGTTGCGCATGTCATGGTACTCAGAAATATGCTTTGTCATTGCCACGTGATTCTAATGAGCAGCTAAGTTCGGGGAAACACACCTGTCTCATACGGCCGGAGTGCAAAGTTTGAACTGCAGCTCTGGTTGGTTAAAAATTATCCCAGCGAGCCTAGCGTGCATCTTGGCTCCACATGGACAGTTTTAGAACTCGGAGGAACAAAGCTCTCTATTGGTTGCATAAGCTTGTGGAGATTTGTCTCTCCTCAGCATCCATGCACGCCTCTGGTTCTCCTTCATCCATGGTTTAAAAGAGATCAAAGGGACTAGGAAGATGTCTCAGTTGATAAAGTGCTTGACCCACAAGCATGAGAACCTGAGTCCAACCCTCAGACACACGTGAAAAGTAGGCCATGGTGGTACCAGCTTGTGAGCCCCGTTGTGTGGGGGTGGAGTAAGGAGGTGGAGACAGGTGGATTCCCAAGGCTTTCTGGCTAGCCAGCCTTGCTGAACCAGCAAGCCCAGCAAGCACTCTGAGAGACCTTATTTCAAAAAGTAGACACATACTGACCTGGTAGCGGAGATACCATTACCACAAAGATGGCTTTCCCAGGGTAAGGCTTATCCATGGTACTCCAGGTGTGCTGGCCTCCACAGTCTCCCCAAATTCAGGAACCTCAGCCATATTATTGGAGTAGTGGCGCGCATTTGTGTGTGTGTGTGTGTGTGTGTGTGTGTGTCTGTGTGTGTGTGTCTGTGTGTCTGTGTGTCTGTGTGTAGGTATTTGTTAAAAGGATAGTGTAAATACACACATACGTACACACATGCATCAAAACAATCCAAATTAATCTACAGCCCAGACTCCATGACCCATTGTGCCTCTTGTAGTCTGAGATTTTATTCAGCTTGCCTACTGACATGACAGCTTGTCATGGATTTGTGGATGCTGGTGGAAGACTAGACTTCTAGATCAAAGACAAAAGCATAGCAAGTAACATGAGATTCATGTCAGCATCCATGTCTCTTTGCTCTCTAAGTCTCAAGGGACATAATAAGACAGCTCCATTACAGCTGCAGGTTCCCAGTCTTTCATAAGGGTCTACAAGCACACTTAACTTATTTATTTTCTCCAAAGGGAGACATTGCCTTTATTATATTCTGCAAAAACAGATAGACAGACAAATAAACAAACATCTTTCTCAGATGAAGGATACTAACTCCAACTTCTAGGTTGTTTGGTATGCAAATATCCCCACAGTGTATGACCCCAGGACGCTGTTGCTGGCCCACTAGCTATACAATGAACTCTAGTGACATGAACAGACTACAGTATTCACATAGAATGCCTTCCATTCCTTCCAGCTGTGATGAGTTTGGCCTTGGCGTCTGCAGTGAGATAGCACAGTCTCCACAGTCAGACTTCCTAGGCTTCTGTCTCAGGTATACGTGCTAATTGTGTGTCTTTGGGAAAGTTAGATAACCTCTCCAAACTTCAGTTTCATATACTATAAAATGTGAAAGATTCCCTACCTATAATAGAGGCACTTTCAGGTTATTATCAGGAGTATTTGAGGTAAAATACAGGAAGTAGCAAGTCCTCGGAAAACACAAATTAGTAAAGATCACAATTACTACCCAATATCATTAATGTTTTCTCGTGCCTTTTCCTGCTTGCTTGTATCGAACCCTAACACCCACCAGCTTCTTTGAGTTAAAATTCCAGTGCTTGCTGCTACCCTTTCACTGCAGCCTGGGAGCCAGCTTAACACTGGTGTGCTTTCCCCATTCCAGGAGTGGGCCAGCTATGGTTCATCTGCAGTTTATTTGGGGGAGTTGTTTTTTGTTGTTGAGCTAGGCCCGAATCTGACCCTGGACTTCTTATGTAACTGACAATGATCTTGAACTTCTTCTCTTACTGCCTTCTGCCTCCCTGCTGCTGGGATGACAGACATATGTCGATATATCTAGTTTATGCAGTACTGGGAATTGAACCCAGGACTTCATACATGCTAGGTGAGCACACTACCTACTGAGCTACATCTTCAGAGCTACAGTCTATTTTCAGAGCATAATCACATCTTATTATTTATATATCTTCTCTAGTTACTTTAATGCTATAAATCAAGAGCTGAATAGCAAAACCTAGACACTATTTCCCTTAAAGAAAAAAATAGTTTGTGGGTGTGGTAGTGTGGTTCTATTGGCAGAGTGTTTGCCAATATGCATTGGCAAAGTTCAAATGTAACACCAGTACTGTGTAAACCAGATGTGGTGGAGTATCCCGCCAATCCCAGCCCTGGACAGGCAGACACAGGAGATCAGGAGTTTAAGGTTATCCTTGACTATACAATGAGTTTGAAGCCAGCTTGGACTACGTGAGATCATGTCTAAAAGAGAAAGATATTTAAAACAAGAAAAGAGTTTGCCAACTCCTGCCCTATTCTATTCTGTATTGTAGCCACACCCAATGGACTTTTGGATGAGTTACCAATCACTCAGAAGACCCCTGCCATCTCTTTTCATTAGTTAAATTATCCCAAAATATTAATTAGTAAGGCATTAATTAAACCTTCTATGGATACCACTTGATACTCTTCTTATCTGAACTGTATAATAGCCCATCAATACCTCAGTCCATTTGATGAACTAAATATTAGTATTAGACAAAAATAGGATGCCTTCTTTTATTTTAAGGGAAATGTTCCCATAATGACAGGTTGCCCCCCACCCCGGGAATACACTAAAAATAAATTAGCCTTTCAAATAGGCGTGAACACAGATAGAATTATCACTTTCATTTTTCTCCAAAAATCTCCTTGACACGTTAATAACCCCCTAGTGGAGACAGACAAGAGATGACTGATGTGATGCCGAGGTTTGAATGATTTATTATCTATGCCTTTAATCCCGAGTGTCACAACTGTGCCATGAGATATGTCTTAGTCATTGTTGTAGCTGAGTATGTACTGTCTGCTGTTAGGCACTTGGTGATGAGATTGCGGATACCCACAGAGAACTTGCAACTTCATGAAATGCTCTTTCAGAACAGAGAGTCAGAATGTGACTTGATAAGCCAAGCTCTAACCAAATGACAGAAATGATTTTATCATAGTCAGAGATCAGGCTTCAACATCATTTGGAGAGACCAAACCACACTCAAAAGTTCAGAGAGAGAGAAAGGGTCTCTATGTAACCCTGGCTGTCCTGGAACTCACTATGTAGACAAGGCTGGCCTTAGACTTAGAGAGATCTACCTGCTTCTGCTCCTGAGTGCTGAGCTAAAGGCATGCACCACCACACCCAGCATCAGAGAGTGAATATTTTATAGGTACTGTTTGTTATTAGGAAAACAAGGTACTATTTTAGAAATCCTGAAGAGAAGTATTTTTGATCCCTTCTGTGTGTGTTTCCATCTTAGTCCAAATGTATACAAATATTTATATGTGGGTTCCTTCTCCGTGAGTGTTTGTTTATCTTGCTGTGTAGGAACAGGGCTTTGGGTCTGGGGATGTTAGGCATTACTGTGCCAGGTAGTAAAGTAAGAAGTTGCACATGTGTGTCTCCTGTTTATTGTTGCTGTTGCTACAAAGAAATATCTGAAGCAGACCAACTTTATCTTTAAAACAACAAGAGGAACTTGCTATGATGAAGCACTGCATCAGCCCTGTAAAAGTAGATCAATTAATTAATTAATTAATCAATTAATAAGGCTTGGTTTGGGGAAATGCCTTAGTGGGAAAAAAAACTCTGAATAGCAAGAGTCCTTGAGTTTGGTTTCCCATAAACCCCATTAGAAGTTGGGCATTGTTCCATGCACTTGTGACCTCGGTAATATACTGGGGAGGATGGTGATAGGAAGACGATGGGGCTTGCTGACTGCAAACCCAGCTTCAGACTCATTAAGAGGCCTTGTCCCAAGGGAAGAAGACAGGAAGTAACAGAGCATGATGCTCAATGTTGTTCTGGTCTGTGTGCACACATAGACACACACATATACACCACACAAATATCCACCACCCTGCATATAAACTACACGCACACACACACACACACACACCACCCTGCATATAAGCCTCATGAATGTATGTACACATTCAATGTAATAAAATATAAAATTTAAAGGGCTCATTGAGTTCCTAGTCCTGAAGGTTAGAAGAAAGGGCACTGGTTAGGCCTCTGTCTCTATCAAGGACATATGGGGACAGCTTTACAGCACAAGGACTTTACAGGAGGAAGAAATAAGATCACATCTCCAAACTGAAAGTTGGGAAGTGTTCTAGCTGTTTTCTGGCTCCTGCGACAGAACTCTCAACAGACAGCTCAGGGGTCTCAGGAGATTTACTTAATCTCTTTAAAGGCAAGGATCCCACCCGCCTAAGGCCTTCCCAGTGGGGCCTCATCCTCTGAAGCTTCTGCCATCTTCCAATTGGACCAAGCTTCCTTCCCACCCACAAACTACAGAACTTGGGAAAGTTGACTTGGTTTGTTGTTGTTGTGTTTTTATTTTGTTTTGGTTTGTTTTTTTTATAATATCTTGTTCCCTGCCTGACGAAGATCTTGAATTAATTAACCTGAGTTGGGGGTCTTAGCTCAGGGTTTTGTTGGGAGTAGGTATTTGTTTGTTTGAGACACTGTCTCCTTACACAGCCCAGGTCAACAACCTTGAACTCCCATTCCTCCTGCCTTGGTTTCTCAAGCGCTAAGATTACAGGCATGCACTGTCATTCCTCGCTTTGGATCTAGGTGTTACAATAAAGTTCCACAGATGACTTCATGCCTGGTACTGTAAAACTGGTCAAAAACACATTTGGTCTCAGGAGGTCATAGACACTGGGGTGAGGGGAACCTACTACAATTCTTCTGTTAAGTGGACATGCTGTCAAACTGCTTCATAAATATTTATGGCTATGTCCATAGATTAATACTGTTCTCAGTCTTGGTCCCCAATGCTTCTATCTGCAGGAGACACTAGTTATAGAAACTTATAACTAGACAGTGTGCAGACAATGAGTGACTGTTGAGTGCTTGGTCCTAACCAGAGCCCCTGCATCAATCCTACCAGCCCCAAGGCTCAGGGAAAGTCACACAGGAGCTAGCAGACTTAAAGCAGAAGAATGCTTGGAAATGCTGTCTTCCAGCCTCTGAACTCATGACCTCACTGGAGCTACGGTTACCGCACAAGACCTACACAAGATCAAGCTGCTGAGATCAGTTAGTATTCTAGCGGGCAGCACTCAGTGAGTGGATTTAAAAGAAGGGGGAAGGACATCATAGTGGGTAGGGGGTGTGTCAAGGGTCAAAATGGGAGTAGTAGTGACTGAGAGAGAGTTGGGGTGGATATGATCAAGATACATCCTACATGGGATGTATCCAAGAATAAATAAAAGATGTTCTAATAATGTTCCTCAGGAGATTCTGTATAGACAAGGTGACCCATTGATTTATCCCAATGATTCAGTCTTGCTAAAGCTGTAACCCTTTAATACAGTTCCTCTTGTGGTGGCCTCCCCAACCACAAAATTGTTCTCATTGCTATTTCATAACTGTAACTTTGTCACTGCTGTGAACTGTAATGTAAACATCTGTGTTTTCTGATAGTCTTGGGCCTGTGAAAAAACCTGTAAAAAGGTTATTTCACACACACACACACACACACCGCACACAAGGGGTCATAACCCACAGGTTGAGAGCAGTTGGTGTACCCCAACTTCTTACCTACACAC